ACTGTCTCGCGACTTACTCACTGACGAAGAACAAGGAACGAAGAGAGTAGTGATTGAGTTGAAATTTTTGGCGATTGATTCTTTTTCTCTGTCATTACTTATGTTGCTAGAAGATTATCTTTGTTGATATTTGTTTTTGAGATGAAATATTGAAAAGAACTGTCAAGAGTTGATTGAGTATAAAAGAAAATGTTTTTTCGTTCTTCACTTCTTTCTATCTGAAGTATTTCATTTGCATAATATAAAATTGAATACGACACCGAAGTTTTGATTTCTCACACGACAGATGAAAGTGAGAATATGAGGTGTTGGATTGTGACGCTTTTGATATGCGAAAATTTACTACATATATTCGGATTGTATATGATATTAGGTGCGTAAAATATTTCTTGTTTTGAATAGTATGATTTCAAAACAAATGAGAGAAAATGGTTTGCATGTTAAAAGCTGCATAGCTTTTTTTCTTTTCTATGTGTATATCCTGTACTAAAATCATGTCATTGACTGATTCATATTCAGTAAGTTGTTTTTACGGTGAAAGTTTGCGTGTATAGAAGATTCTAGATCGATAGATGTTTGTGAAGAACGAAAGATCATTGTTGAGCTAACGAAGAAGTGCAAATCAAACGAAATAGTACCATAAATACATTCATTTGAACCGTCGATAATGTGATATATACAGTGCACATCAATTGGATTTTCTCCTTTTGTATTTCTTATTATAGTTTGCTTTTTTCTTCGATAATGGATATATAACGAAAAAGTACAGATATCACTACATCGCATGATATATTAATCATAAATAACCAATAAAAATCAAACAACAAAAAGTATATCAGAAAAAAAATATGATATTTTTTTCCATTACAATATACATTTCATGCGGATTATACAAAAATAAAATATTTATTTAAATGGAGAGTTGACCACAATTATATATCGTACTCATAGATAATAGCATATTTGTAATATTACGATTGATTTTCTATCTCGACAATGGATAAAAAGTTGATGAAAGTAGTAACGAAAGATTTGTTGTTGTGATTGGATAATGGTTTCGAACCACTTCCTTAAAGAAATAGACGAGGAGAATAGAAAATAAATTTTATATTTGATTGAACCTTGATCCACAATATAACCAAATATGCATCAATTTTAAGCTGAATTTTTTTCGAAATCTCTATTAATAATATGTCATTACTATGTTTTATTAGACAGATAAACAGATTTACGACAATGAACTTTTGAATATTCAAAAAATACTTGAATTCATGTCTATCATTAAGCAGAAAAACAAGAGAAAGATAAAAATCTGATTTATTCTTACTGCAAATTGTAGTAAAAACAAATGCTATCTTTTTTTTCTAATATACTTTTTGTTGTTTGATTTTTTATTGGTTATTCATGATAAATATATTATGCACTGTAATGGTGTCTGTACTTTCTCGCTGTATGCCCATTATTGAAAAAAAGGTAAACTATAATAGTCTACAGTAAAAAATACAAAATGGAGAAATTCAATTGAGGTGCACTGTAAATAATGAATACTGCTAATCTATAGAAATAAACTTAAAAAATATAGATCTGTACAAAATTCACTCGGTGACATAAGATGCGGCTAGTAAGAAAGGCAGGATGAGGAGGTTTGAATACACTGATGAAGCTCGACATCGTCTAGATGTGGGTGAGAAGAAAACTTTACTCATAGAATAATGTTTCTAGTCATATGAAATTGAGTATAACTTCTGAACTAGTCTTAAACATTGATCTTGTCATAGATAAAAGTAGACTATTTTTAGAGTACAGATATTTTCATTAACTATAATGATACTTAGTTCGAAACGGTGTTAAAATGTAACACAGCTTTACTTATATTAAGTATGAGACTTAGATATTATTTTCAGTTGTTTCTCGATCTATTTTACGGTTAGGTACTAGAAAACTGTTCACTGTTACGACCAACTTTGGTTGTGATTTGTTAGTGAAATGTATGGTAGTTAGTCGCCTGTCATAATTTCTGGATTATTGTGATGAGCCTTTTCTTATTTTCTTCAGAAAGAATTTGTATTTAAGAATTGGTCGAACTATATTCAAGAACAATATTCACGCAATTTCGATGTATCAAATGTAACTTTAGAAAAGTCCATTCGAATGTGGCGATTAAAGTCAAAATACGCGTACAACTGTGTAATCTTCGGGATTATTGTCGTTACTACCATATTTTCAAATTATTACTTCTGTAAAACTTCATTGATATTGGAAACGCTGAAAAATCATAATTCGACACCCGTAGCATATATTATTACGGTTCCCGGTTATGATCAACGAGTAGCAAGTGTTGTAGATCTTTTTAAGAAATACGCTCATATGGATCTTCGACGTTTCAATGGCATTCGATTTTCTCGTCGACTTCATGTAAAAAACACGTCTTTGACACTCGGAGAACAAAGTCTACGAGCAACAATGACAATGTTCTACAGCATGATGATTCGTGAAAATCATGAAAAAGTATTCGTATTTGAAGATGATGCGATTCCACATCGTAATTTTACAGGATTGTTCAGAGAATTGCCTCATCGTTGTCTTGAAGCCGATGTTCTATTATTAGGAGCCACTATCTGGCATAAAAAGCATACAGATTGGCCTAGCGGAGCGTGCTTCGATGTTAACAGTGCAACATATGGTGCTTTTGCTCTCTTGCTTAAAAGAGTAACCTATCGTCCTATTCTCGAATGGTTACAAGCAGATACACCGAAACCGTATGATCATGTTTATCGCCACTTGCAACAAAAGAAACTCTCTGTGCGAGTAGCATTTCCTCCTTTTCTAGTAATTCCAGATATTTCGCATTCATCCTTAATCAATAATAATCGCAGTAATATCCAATTCGATGTAATCAAACGAGCTGAAGTGCATCTTTGGCACTTGGAAGATTATCCAGTGGTTCAAATACCAATTCAGACAATGAAGACCAATGTATCGGAGATCAGACTTGTCAAGAAGAGAGTGAATACACATACGTAAGTGAATTTAAACAGAGAAACAAGAATCAGTTCTACCGTTGAGAACGGATTCAAGCACTACATACATGGTCGAACTAATTAAATTATCAAATAAAGTCTTTCGTTTCCTTACACTTGTACTACTAGTAATTATGATTTTTTCGATTTGATACTCGACGTAGCACACAATGATGCCCATACGTACTATACGACACAAACAGAGACAACCCTTGTCAAATATTCTCGAGTGAAATCATCCTTCTTCTAAACAACGACATTAACTCAGTGGGTCATTCTGCAACAGGCTGAGCATACATGTGGCACATAAGCACGTAGGCACAAGCACCAGTGTGAACATACGATGTGAACGAGAAGAAAGGGTACAACTGTGGTTGAAAATGTTAATGAAGGCTGTGTGTTTGGATGTGGGTGCAAGTCCAAGTTTGGGTGAAGATGTAGTTCAATGTGACTGTGGATGCATGAGAGGATAGACAAAGTTGAGAGGAAGACGTAGAGGATGTACATTCATCCCTCCAATAAATGAAAATAGTGCAATTTGGAATAGTCAAAAGAAATTATCCCTTTATTCTGCATTGTTGGTTATTAAAACAAAAGAAATGAAATAATGGAACAACTGATTTAGTCTAATTACACAATTACATTGATTACTGTATATAATACATTAATTCTACGTAGCGCTAAGTATAAGTACATTAGTAGGCTGGATAAGAATTACATTTTGTTGTTGACTCGCACTCCTTCTAATGCGTTTGGTGATTCTATGGGTGATAAATCCGTAGTATTATAAATGAATTTACGTTATGAAAAGATATCTTTTTTTTTCATTCGATTTATTGTTTCCAATTAATAGAGTTAACATATTAGAAAGGCGTTACAAAAAAAAGTTTAACCGACATGTTACAATAGCACAAAAGCTTACATTTATTGAAAGAAAGAAAACAAAGTTTTATAGTACAACACTTTATTTGGTCAGTTAGTCTCTGCTATCTTCTTGTCCTATATATAAAGTTCGCGATATTTCATCAAGAAAAGGTTTGACTCATAATTTATATTCGTAGAAATAGAAATTAATAAAGAAAAAGAAAGTGGGCAAATAAATTTGGTACAAAATTAAAGAAATATATGGCAAAAGAAAAGACAAGAGATGGAGAAAAAAGAAAAAAGCCGATATATAAATAAGCGGATCATTTATACATATTAAGTTAAACTTAAAAATGAGATGAGTAGACAGTTAGGAAGAATCCTTTTCATATCAAGGGAGAGAAGATGTGAGTGCGATTTCAAGAAGAGCAACACTCACCCATAACTTATCCTTTCATATACCCTTCCTGTTCATAAATCTTGGCAAAGGTTTGTAATCCTTGTATATCGGCATACTCTTGTACTGTTTTCTGTATTTTGTGTTTAAAGCGTGCTATGATAAGCTCTTCGTCGAAGGTTTTCTTTCGTTCATACGTCGAAAAAGAGTTATTAAATACAGAAAACAGTACAAGGATATGTGGTTTACAATGAGTGAGAAATCATTGCAAAGACCTATGAACAGAGAGGATTTATGAAATGGTAGATTACACTATCAAACCTAAAAGAAATTTATGCCTATGATAATAAACAGATATGAGGCTTTTTTATTCTACACTTATTTTTTATAGTGTACTAAAAAGTAGCGAATTTTCTATTTGAATGCATGATATTATAGATTTACTTGTATATCTTCCAGTGTTAATACCGACTACCACAACAATTATTCCTGATGATCGATCTTATACTATCCTATTAATTTGAAAACAATGATGGATGCAAATGTGTTCTTGTTGTCTTAATCTAATTGAATTATAAAAAAAAGATACAGCAATACTGCTTGTAAGTTCCCGTTTTGAAAAAATGAAAAGTTTTTATATAAAAAGATCAATATTTTGTGGAGTATTTATTGGACTAATTGTTAGTTTCATATGCCTCCGTACCAATCTCCGTTCTACCATGATTCAATATCCACATGGTTATGAATTACCAGAAAAAATGCCAATAGTTTATGAAGCTTCTCTGGATTTCCCATGGAATGACACGATTGAACTGATTTACACTAGTGCTCCTGAATCACCTGGATTTATATGGCTTTTTGGTCAAGGAGTTGTGGGTCAAATTGAACATATGTTCTGTTTACTTGGTCATCGAAAAACAAGGATGAAAGATGCGAAAAAATCGACTATTTTCAATGATTATATAGCTTTCCTTTGTCATCTTTCTCAAGAACTGGAATTTGAAGACAAACTAACCATTGTAAACGGAGAAAAAATTGTGAATTCAGTTGCACGATACAATCCACAGTATCATCAAACAATTAACAAGCCGCGATATTTTCTATGCTTTGTTACAACTATTAGAAATATGGCATATTTGGTGGATGAATGGTATGAATATCATCGTCGTGTAGGTTTTGATCATCTAATAATTTATGATAACAATTCAACGGATGGTCTCGGAAAGTTGTTTGTGAATAGAACTGATCTTGAAATTATTCGATGGCCATGGAGGCGATCCCAACATCAAGCATACACACATGCTCTGTTGTTTACAAGAGATCGATGTGTTTGGACTCTATTCTCTGATCTTGACGTTTTTATATTTCCACGATCATCAAATTCAGTTCGAAGTGTTATACAAAACCAAGCAACCTCAGATATTGCTCAAATTAGTTTTAAGTTACTCAGAATGTCTCATGAAAATCTTGTCGAATGTTTCAATGCTTCGATTACAGAAACTTATATTCATCGAAAACAATTACCGGATGCTTGGGATAAAAGTCCATCGGCAGCAGTTATCACTTCACTCGCTGTACCGATACATCGAATACACACAGCTTCATTATTGAAACCTTACAAATCTATCACATTATCATCAGATATTGCCTATGGTGTCCATTATAGTGATCGTTGCTGGAAACAGTACTTTCTTCAGAAAGTCGTCGGCCGAACCGGTGTCAAAGATTGGATTGTACCTAGAACTGTTAACATACTCCATCCAAGTGAGAATTGGCAGAAACTATCGAAAGCAGCAACGATAAAAGATACCGAATTTCGAGACTTCAAACGTAAGATCATGCGAATGCCTATGCCAAAACCTGTTCTATTTCGATGATTAGTAGTACAAGATGTTCTGCACATTCAAATATACACTAAAAAAAAATTTGTCACACATATGTATTGCTAGTTATAGTGTCGTAAATTTTACTATGAAAATATGTCACATTCAGAATAGTTCTTATTATGAATGTGTCGTGATCTGCTGGATCTGGGTGTGGATATCGTAGTGAGTGTTTCCTATTTGCACACTCATGTCATGATTTTTTCATAAAAAACTGACGGTTCGAACGACTTACTCCTTTTTTTATCAAGTTTTTTCATAATTTGGGATGTGTATGTGGGTGTGATTGTATTTTTCATTAGACGCCTGAGCCCACATCCACACTCTTGGTTGTTGTTTAAAGAACAAGAAAATTTGCTGTATTAATTATCATGTGAGCGAAGATACTCTGGATGAAGATTTAAGTATTCTTTGCTAACAAGTAGTGATGAACGAGGACAAAATCGCCAGTCACATTGATTTGTTCTTTTTCATCAAATATTTAAAGAAGATGTTACAATGCACCGTCAATCCTCTTTGTGACGCAAGAGCATACAACACAGTTGTGAAACTAGTTCGTATACCTTCTCTAGAGCACATAAACAGATTAATCCATTTGTAATTAATAGAATTGTTCGACAAGATTGTGTTGAAGTATCCAGTATTCTCATTAACAACTCACAAAGATATTAGCAGAGGCATACAAGATCAAATTGTTCTATTGAGAGATGAACAGATTTGTCTAGCGTTTTGTCAAGAACAACGTAGAGAAACCACGAGTATTGGAAAATTTGTCTATTTGTTTGATCCGATGGGACTGAAAGATCGTGTCACAAATAAGGACTTTTATGATATACGTAGAGATGTGCTGAATATCAAGCCATTATATCCCTTATTGCAGGCCTCACTATGCATTTGCCGGTTTCAGCCAGATTCTTGTTCAATATCAACCAGACTGGCTGATCAGATTACATTAGTATTATTCGATATAAGCGAATCTACATTCCATTATCATCACGTTGAAAAAAGTAGCCTACCCATATTAATACGAGTGTGCGTGGGTGAAGAAAAGACCTGCACCCACACTCTACAGCCACACTCACACCTACCCAAGAGATTCAATCCGACCTGTGGATCCTACCGGAAATCGATCGGATCAGAAACGGATTGCATCGGAATCTGACGCCTTCCGTTAAATCCGATTGGATCCGATCGAGTTTGCGTCGGATTCCTTGCAACAGGATTCCGGACCGGATTACGTCGGAAAATATCCGTTCGTCGCATTCAAACGGATTTGAAATCCATCCGATAGAATCCGACCGAGCGGCTTTCCTTGGTTTGAATCTCTTGGGTGCCTTTCGGAGAAACCGAGATACCCAAGAGATTGAATCCGACCTGTGGATCTTACTGGCAACCATCGGATCCGAAACGGATTGCATCGGAATCCGACGTCTTCCGTTAAAAACCGATCGGATCCACTCCAGTTTGCGTTGGAATCCTGTGCCAAGGAATCCGGACCGGATTACGTCTGAAACGTCGGATTCAAACGGATTTGAAATCCATCCGACAGAATCCGACCGAGCGGCTTTGCCTTGGGTACACCCACACCACCCACATCCATCCCGCACCCCACACTTACACCCCAAACTTTTGGACCGTCTCTAAATCTTCTACCAACGAACGCATCATAGAATTGTTTGCGCAAATATTCTTTATTAGAATTCTAACTATGAAGATAAATAGTGAAATAAGACAATGTTCATATAGAAACTGTTGTATGTTCGACTTTTAAAATTGTTTGCGAATGTTCTCGAGTAATGATTCAAGTTGTTTGGCATCTTTACCGAGCAAATCGAGAAGACGTTTGCGTGCTTTTTGCACTATACCGTGCCACATCGTTGACAATGCAGCGAAGCGAGTTTCAAGTGCAATAACAACAATTGCCGAGATAAGAACTTGACGATTATTAGATGGTGAAAAATTCTCTAGAGATTTGCCAGTCAATTGTTTGATATTTTCTGCATCCAAATCCCATAGACCATCAAATTTTTGTTTGTTGATCAAATAACGAACTATGTTTTCATCACCTACAGGCCATGTCTCTTTCTTTTCTTTCTGTTCGATATACTTTGGATTGTTCTTATCTGAATATGTGCTGCCTTTAATCGCATGGGTAGAAGCAAATGATTGACATTTATATTTTAAATCGTCGTGGGCTTCGGCATCCATAACTCGTCGAAATTGGACTTGCGTGCTTCGCGACGATCCCGATTCAGTTCTAATTCCGTAATCACTAAAACATGAGGAACTATTTGTAGATACCGCATCCTCATTGCATACCATCGGCATAATCGAAGATGATGCTGCGCGAGGCACCGACATTGATGAAGCCTTAAAACTCATGAAATGGGATGCTTCCAAGTGCTGATCATCGGCCGATATTTGAATGGGCACTTCGCGCAAGACCATTTCGGCGTTATTTGCATTCACTCGTTTTTCAACACCAACAAAAGCTGTATGCGGACTGAGGATCTTATACTTAAGCGATAATTCGATTATTCGCTTCGTGGTCTCTTCTTTCGAGTTGGTTGTTGTCGTTGTCGACAATTGATTATGTTCTGCAAATCGAGTTTGCAACGAACCAGTAATCTTTCTTGAAGGAAGTTTGGAATGTTGTAATTCGAGAATGAGTGCTTTCGCAGCGAGTCGAGAAATTGTACCATTGACACTCACGTTCGGCACACGATCGATTTTTGCTTCACCTAATCGCTGTTTATCTGTATACAGTTCGACACTTGAATTGTGATCAAATGTCGACATTTGATCACTAGCAAGTGCATAGACAATGAGACGATCATTGGCATAAATCGGTGGCGTTTTTGTTGGGGCGCTCATCACTGATGTACCCAAATTCCATTTGATTTGTACATTAGTTATACAGGTTTGTAAAGCTTTTTGTAATTGTTCACCGACATGAATATCGACACTGCTGTTGGGTGGAATGAAAACAAAACGGCCGTTTGTTGCTCGTGCAAGGCCTTTGACTAATGAACGACTTGGCGAATGACCCAAACCAAAGGAAAATATTCGAGCTGAAGTAGCCATCGAACGACACAGATCGAGTACTTCATCGACATTGGAAATCTCTCCGTCGGTTAAAAGAAAGATCTGTCGAGCACGACCTTGTCTCGGCGGATGTTCTTCAAGCCATTGAAGAGGACGTAACTATAACAGAAATAATTGATTATCGCAGATACAATCAATATATTACGATAAAACTCACCAGCTCGGTACCACCTAAATCTGCTTTCATCTGATTAGTTAATTGTTCGGCCTTTCGCGCATTTTCTTCGTTGTATACAGCAGTTATATCTGAAAATAGTGTCTGATAACTTGACCCAAACCGAATAATATTGAAATGGCAATCGACTGGAAGACTCTTGAGAAAGAGTAACATCGCTTGACGAGCCAATCCAATCTTGTTCTCATCTTGCATCGAACCACTGCAATCGACAACGAAAATAAATTCATTAGTTGTTTCTGCACTGTTCATTGCACGTTGACAATCTTCTTCATTAGGTGTAAACCAAGCCATTACAGCACCGGACTCAACAGCGACCATGGTATTTGAACGATTTTCAACTAACTCAATATCGACAAGAATATCTCGATCCAAATGAGTATTTTGTTGGGCAAATTCGATAACATAGGTATCTTGTTTACTGACATCGACCTGAATTGGATGCGATGACGAGCTGACACGTGAAATACCAATTTTGTCTATTTGACAACGAAATTCGATTGTGTATGGACTTGTTTGAACATATTTCGATGTCGTACCAGCTGGTGAATCGATACCACCTTTGTTTGGATTGTAGCGAGGTGCAATGGTTGTCGGGACAACAAAGCGAATTTTGCTTCCATTTTGCACGAGATCCAATTCGGAGACGTACGAAATAGAAATGTGACATTCTTTGCCCGGTGGTAATGCACCTACGTTAATGACAAAATTGTCTTGCGATTTTTCATCTTGTTCAAGCAAATAGGCACCATGACCTTGTCGAAGAGCATCGCTGTATTCTTTCTGGGCTTCTTTCTTCTCTTTCAATTCAGCAACAATTTCTCGATCATCAATGCGAGCAACAAAAGCGTAGACAGCTGCTTGTTCTTCGATTGGAAAACAATACACGGCTTCGATCGGTATTGTTTCATCGTTGCGAAAGACTTGCTTGATAACGACATCGGCAGCGAATGATCGAATATTAGCTTCGACACTTACTTGTTTCAGTGGCACGTACTCTTCTCGTTTTGATTGTCGAGCGTCAAATTTTGGATCTCGTTTGATGCAGAGCATTTTGAAAAAAAAACCTACGCATTTGTCTCTATGTCTCTTGTATTTATAGACATGGCAAAAAATATGAGAAGTCATAAAGCAGATGAGTCAATATTGATAATAAAAGATAACACGTACGTGAATAACATAGCATCATGAAAAAAGAACGATAGTATGGATAGAGAGTGTAATGCGATACTAAATCATCCAGGAGAAGAATAATGCAGGATTTCTAATTGGGTGAGATAAACGACAAATCATGGTAGATATGCTTTCATAATCGGATGAAAATGTTAAAGATCAAGAGAAGCGCATGTTCTTCACTTGCTCAATAATTTTCATTCGTAACAAATCAGTAATTGCTAAACCAATCATTGTGGGCTGGGTGGGGGTGTGGGTGTAGCTCTGAACGTGTACTAGTGTTAAAATCGATTGTGTCAGATAGATCTCATCGAGTTCTATCTGGCACAAGTACTTTCTCAGATGACACATCTTGGAACAAATATTAAGCCGAAATACTGATTTTTTTCACTAAAATCAGTGTTCTAAAAGCAGTTTTTCGAATTTTTCAACTATCTCTCACGACGGATATTTTTTGAAAGCTATGTATTCGATAGCATATTTGATGCTCTATCTGGCACAACCAATATCATTTTTGGCACAAGTCTGTTTGTGAATATTTCTCCAAACAACTCGAATTTGCTGCTAACTTTACTTACGTTTAAGTTATACGAATAATACAAAAAAAAATAGAAGAAGAAAAACCAAACTTTAGTATGAAAAAAAAGGACTACATAATTAAGAGTATAACAGATTTTATCCTTATTCTTCAAATTTGATTATTGAGAATTGTAATCAAATCTATAGCAAACGCTTGACAATTTTCATTGTTTTATTTGTCAAAATTGGAATAGTAATCAGCTATGAGAAAAATAAAAATAATTCATGAGATATTTAATATATTTATAAATATAATCGAACGTGATCAATATGAATTTATCTTAATTGTTGATCGTATCACGATCTCTCGTTTGTGCAAATGTTTATTTTGAACAAAAAAAATTAATTTTTTTCATTAGAAAAATTTTCTCAAATCACAATGATTATGAATATTTTTCTTTATCTTAATTTATTAATTAAAACTAATGTCAACATTATCTCAATGTAAATTAGTAACTTACATTACTTTTTCATTTCAAGAAATTCGAATTTCACGGTAAAGAAAATGAAATTTGTAGATGTTTCAAATTAGATCTTTTAGATTATACATATAAATTACTTTTTATTTCAAAAATGAATTTATTTACAAATTAAAAAAAAAAGAAGAAGATTAGATTTTTTTCAATCAGATCTTCACAATGAATATTAACTTTTTGTTGAAATTGTTTTTGCATGATTTCTTTGTCGACAATGATAATGAAAATACCAACAACATCAGAAAAGAAAAATCAACATTCAACATTATTAGAGACTTCTGATTCAGCACTAGAATTCAAATAATAAATTGTCATATTGACCGATTCTGATTTTATTACACAATGCATAGTCAAGTAGATTTTTTTTATTACTTTCGTTTGATGTGTTAGTATTGATGTATGAATATTAAATGAACATATGTCATTTGATTTATCTATTTTATATTTGATAAATTCTCTTTTTCTCTTTATTCATGTAATTAAATCAGTTTTTTTTAGAAAAAAAGAATAAATGTTTTAGATGGGCGTATTTTTTTTCATCTGTTTGACGACTGATATTCCTTATTAAGCGTAATTTAATATAGAAAAATAAAAATAGGCACAAACAAAAGAGTAATGCGACTTGTTTGATCGTTATTATGTTAAAGAATATCTATTGAGTCACATAAGACAAAATGAAATAATAGTAGAAAACACAAGACAAAAAATGGTGAACTTCAATCCCTTGGATAGAGTTCGACGTTCTTCTCTTGACGACAATGTAGAAATAATCGTTGAAATTGAAATTATGAAGTTTTATTTCACTTTTATTAAAATATTTGTAATTCTTATCAAAAAATTAATTATCTCATCCTCATTCTAAAGAACTTTTTGAAAGTTTATCACATAATTTCTTGTAAGACATTCAGCTTTTAATACGGAAAAAATAGAACTATGCCACTTGAATCTTCAGCAAATTCAGATTGAGACTGATTTTTTTATTTCATAAGAAATCAAGAGCAAAAAAAATGAGTTCGCTTCTCTTTGGATTATATATATATATCAGCAATGAATTCTCTATTCAAGTAATAGAATAAACACACACACACAACAAAACAAAAAACGAAAATGTCAAAAATAATCTTTGCAAGAACATTCACCATTTTTGTAAAATCGATGAATACGATTAGAATTACAAATAGTTATTTTACACTGTCCAAGTTTAACTACTGGTTTCATGAATTCATCTGAAGACAAAAAAAAACATTATTAACTGAAAACAAACTAGAAATAACTTACGACAATCCTGACAAGTACGAATATCATTAGTAATTTGAATAAAAAATGGAACAGATCTTTGAATCAAATTAAAAGCTAATGCAAGCCTTCCACTACGATAATATGAAGCGGATGCACGAAGTGTAGCTTCTCGTACTTTCGGAGTTATCCAAGCTGAATCAAGATTATGACCATGTTTAACAAGTTCAATTGCTATACGATCAAGTTCAGCATTAATTTCTTCAAATCGAGGATGAGACCGATCATCAACTGTAAATTCCTATTAAAAAATAAATTAGAAATTTTTCTTCGTATATTTTTAAAATTTCATAGAAATATTTTTACCCATAATTGACCATTTACATTAGTAATTGACTTTTCTTGTTTAATTTTATTTTCTAATTCTTTTTTTTTATTTGAATGAATCGTGTTGTTTTGTTTATGTTTACTAGAAGATGAATACATTTTAAAGAAAAGATGTTTCATTGTATTATCTAATTTTTGTGTTAAAATTAAATGTTGATCAACATATATATCTGATAACATAGTCACTAAAAAAATCATATGATAAACGAGAGATCAATAAAAAAAAATATATAATTAATACTTACTATCAATAACTGAACAAAAAAAATTTGATTTTTCATAATCATTAATCATTTTTTCTGTTTCATCAAATATTAACAAATCATTTAAATAATGAATCTAAATTATAATAAAATAAATTAAATCAATATAATAAACTGAATCGAATATGATTGAAAAGATTCACATGAAAATACAAATTGAATATAGAAGAAAATGAAAGTTTATCATGTAAATAATTATAAGGTGCAAATATGATTTTATTTAATGAATCGAATATTTTCTTTGACATTAAACCTAATAATTAAAGTAATATATTTAAGAATTCGAAAGTAAAATCAATAATAACCTATGCATATATTTGAATATATAGTAATTGTTTTATTAACAATTATAGAAAATAGATGATGATTGTATTTATTATGATTATATCGATCTATATAAAAAATAAAATAAAATGATTAAATGTTATTGAATAATATTAAATGTTTTTCTTAAGAAAATTTACAAATTCGAATGATGATTATTAATTTTACTGTCTAAGATTTTTTAAAAAGATTTCAAGAACTTTTAATGAATAACATAAAGATACACAAAAAAAAGAGAAATTCTCGATTTTTTTCTTTAAAAAAAAATACGTATTAAGTTTTGGCAGATATGAATAGGTAGTTTTTTTCTTTTAAGAATTATGAAATAAGTGCAGTTTTATGTTTACTATTTATAACTAATGAAATGTATATCAATATCATATAATAAAATATATAATGATAATCATAATAGAGTTTTCGGATCTTTAGATTCATCATCTAGATTTGCAACTGGTAACGGTAAACGGCCGATTAGATAGAAGATTTCTTATCGGCTGGTAGAGATAACTTGGTTTTTACCGGTCGGTCTAGATTTTTTCATAGTTTTTGCATGGGTTTTTATCGAAAAATTGAACATACGAGTGATTTTTTTCACAAATCACAAATTTTTTATTGATATTGAAGACTATATCGGTGATGGAATATGTATCAGACTATTGTCTTAAATCTAAATTCGTCATGGCATCCTTATTATATTTCCTTAACTAAATTTGATATGACATCATGTTATTACAAAAAACTGAATAATTTTTTTATGTTGTAGTTTTTGATAGATTTTTTTGTATTTTGTACTTTTATAGAGCCAAAAAAAGATGAATAACTTATGCCGATATACCGATCGGTCTGGACTGACGGTTTAGACCGGTATTGGTAAGGAAAAAATCCTACCGGCGTGCCAACTCTGTCTTCTGGATGCTCATGTAGCTGAATAATGGCACAATTACATGACAATGCAACCTATTTCATGCATTAAAATCCATGTAATAGGTTGTATTTCAGAGATCGAAACCAAATTGAATAAGCGAATAATTCGATTCGATTCGGCTGAGTCGAATCTGAATGGAGATTTCCTCATCTACTGCATTATTTCCATAACAGTTACATGGATAGTTTTTTTTTGAGCCTGATAGATGTTATAAGTGTATTCGAAGCTACTTGCCAAAAAAATCTCAGTAATATGAACAATACCCTAATTCCACCTGAACCATTTTTTGTACCATCTTTACCCTATTCTGCAGGACTTTGCTAAAAATTTATCAGTGGTTATAAGTAAATATATTTTCAGTGTTGTTCTATTGCACTAATTGATAAGTTTTTTATTATCTTTATTCTTAACTCACTATAGAAATGAATAAATGATGTTTGAATGAAAGAATTTTTAAGTGAATTTGATAAAATTTGTCCTTGAGTTTTGATATTATATTGGTAATTATATAAACGAATACATGATTTTAATGTCATATTGTAAATAATATATTTACATAATGTTGATCGTTGAATGATAAGATCAAAAACTTTTTTACAATGTTTAACCTTGATGAGTTTATTCATTATTCAATTTAACTTTATTGATGATAGTGAAATAAATATATTCTAGAAGACAAAAAAATATTTTCAAATTAATTTATAAAGTTTTTCTAAATTCTTAAAAGATTATTATAGAAGATAAAACTCTGTACTTGTTTACTTGACACACAATCCTAACTCGTAAAATGTATTCTCATTCAATGAAAATTTTTTTTCACATCTATCTAATTAAGTAGAACAATCAAATTATATGATGATAATCAATTTTCAAAAAGCGTCGTCTATTATACATTCATAATTTAATCCGATATTTCTTCTTCTTCAAACAATTTATTTTTATTGATATCATTTAATTGGTTGATTTCTAATAGTTCTACAAAATAGAGAAATAATTCAAATGACATTGAATTTCTACAACAGAAAAGAGGGCGTTCTATATTAATGTGTACAAATATTTTTATATCTTTTCATTTAATGAAGTTAATCACAAATATCATTTCTATTAATAATATAAATCCGATGCAGATTTTTAGACGTAGAAATTTTATGATTAAAAAAAAATGTTACGAATGAAAATGAAAAACATTAAAACTAATATCCTTTTTTTTATATTATCAAAAATTTCTCTTTTGATATTTCTATCTGGTTAATTATGTAGCGTTTTTGACATCGTTTCATATGTCAACTCTTTGCATTTTATTTTTCATTAGGAAATCATTACTCGATTGTTCCATAATTTTTATGTGTATAGAATTGATCCGGCTGTTTTCGATATGTCAAGTAATGACATACACCTTGACTCATATCAGTGGGATTTTCCCCTACATTCTAGTTGTCAGACGTCGAGAGATTTTTGTCTAAGACTGTTGTTTCTTTTTTGTGTGAAATTTCCCTTTGTCGTATTCTGACCGATAAGAAAATGGGTCATTTCTGTGTCATAGACAAGAAACTGTTAGAATAATCAGAGTAGTATAGTATTATTCTTTCGTTCTGTGACGATTTGTTTTTCTTTCTCTCATTCATGTAATATTTATCGGCTCGGTCTCGATAGATTTTGCTCTTTGTGATATCTACGACTGAAAGAAAATTCAAAATAGAAGAAAAGAAAAGGCAAATGTCTCAGTGAACTTCTAATTGTAATTGAGCAGCTCAAAATCGACTCTTTGATTAAAAAAAAACGAGATAAAGTACCTTTGAACAGATATAAGTTCACCGGAACGTGTCAACGTAAAGATTCATGAATATAAAGAATCGACAAAGTACAGACACTTAGTATATAACGAGTGTTGAGTTTAAACAATCTTACTAATCATATTCTCATTATTCGCTATTTTTTATTTTCTCTGGAATATGTTACCCATTTTGTGTATTGTTTCTTTTACGAGACGAGAAGAAAAAAAGTCGCATATTATCCATTTCTCTCTTATTTTTCTTTTCTACATTACGTGACATCGTCTTATGCAAGTTATACACATTGTAGACATAGCTGATTAATCGGTCTCAATGACAATGTATATTAACTGATATTCTATTACTATTTTATAGATAGTGATTTTTTCTTTATCAAATGAGTGGAGAATTTGATTTTCGAGCATTGTTGCTCAAAATACAGGATCTTCTATCTGACAATGATCGACATCGTTTTCTTTTTCTTCTTGGCGAAGATGTTCCCAGATATTTGCGTGATGATCCTTCACTTAGTGGAACGCTTCGTGTACTGGAATCTCTTTTGGAAAAGGCAATAATCAGCGATCAAGATTGTGATTATCTTATTAAAGTATTCAAGAAAATACATTGTAATGATGCTGCAAAACGACTTCAAGGTTCGTTTCTTCTATTTCTTATCAAGACTTACATTTAACAAGCTTTTTACTAATTATGTTTGTTTTTTTTCAGAATATCAGCTAGCATTGGAACATTTTAGTCAACGAAGTTGTTCACTTCAAGATATTCTTTTATTCGACAATGACGATGAGGATAACATGCCTTCGCCTAGTTCGTATTAATAGGAGACTTTACTTTATTTATGATTAGAAATTTTCTTTCAGGGATCATGCGTATTCCATCTGATCCGAATTTAACTGTAGATCGTTCGACTTCGTGTGCAGATCTAAGCCTCGAAAACAGAGCATCGAGTTTATTACTATCTGAACAAAACGGAACGAATGAGTGCATTCACAAACTTGGATGGACTTATTGGATATTCAAACGACAATTGAACACTCGTGAATGGATTCTACTTATCAGTAGTATTCTGATTCTATTAAGCCTTCCGTTAGCTATTTATCTTTCGAGAACAATTGCTCCAGGCCACCCAATGACGAATTCAGGTAAATTAATAGCTATTTAAATGATATATTAGATAGTGATTGATGCAGAATATTTTCCGCAGACATTCTTCATTCTATTTGAGAAAGCTTCAGTCAATACAGTAAGTAGGACAAGAGAAAATTTCCGTGAACATTCATTTATTCACAGAAGAAATGTAAATTTCTAATCTGATCAAACTTGAAAATAAGTCGATCATGAAAAAGAATAGGCGAGCTTCAATCTACTCTACATATCTCTAATAGAGAAAAAAAAATGATGTCATGTTTTGATAACTTTCTATAATTAATAGAGATGAATATCGATACTACTGGAGTCGTATACCGCAGGTCTAGTATGGAAAGCATAAAGTTCAACAGAATTAAGTCTCAATGAATGAAATCTGTGAAATTGGACTTTTTCATCGATGAGTATTTACTGTCTAGTCAGGTTGTCATTGATTAAACTGTAATTGACTCTCCTCTTTTACTTTTTATTTCTTTGTGTGCTCATAAACCGATATAGGCAGTTGAAATGAAACAGCGTATCTATAATGTTGCCTTCTATTCCAAAAAGAATCCAGTTGATATCGACAAGCTCTACAAAGATCTCTTGCATCTTGAGTTAGAAAAAATTTCAAGAATTTTCAAGTACTTCGAGCAAAGACGGGAAGCGAGTGTTACCTAATTTTTAAATGTTTCTATTTGAGATTTTATCCAAGAATATATTTAGAATTCAAATTCTTACGACTAATATTATGTCTTAATCATAAGGTACATCATTGAAGATACAGAGAAGTCTTAAGCCTCTGCAGTTTGTGTGAATATCTCTAACATATAACTAATAAGAAATGAGATTAGTCTATTGTGATAGCGATTGGCTATACAAATGAGTTTAGTTGATTGCCTAGAAATAACTTGATAGATTAAAATATACAACCTGCATAATAATGCAATCATAATAATCGAAAACAAGAATAGAAGAGAGAAGCATTATTGCTATGAAAATTAAAATAATTCATTTATCAGACTGAAAATAGTACATTCTCTGAGATAAATGAATATAAAAAAAATCTATCCGGTTGGCGCATAAGTTCTGCACGTTTGGATCAGTAGAATTATATCGCCAATATAAAACTATATTTTAAGGAAAGTAATTATGTATTCTAATAGCGCTCGGAATTCTCTATCAGTCTATATATTTAAGTCTTGACTTGCATTCATTTGCTGAAAAATATTTCGAGTACACTGAAGACACCTTCACCCGCAGATTTCCACGAACTTCATTTTTTGTTCCTTTTTCATATGTTTTTAAAATTTTTATCTATACAGTAATCCATTTTTTTAGAAAAGTAATTGTATATTCTGAGAGCTCTTGAAATGCTCTATCATCCTGTATATTCAGTGTTGGCTTGAACTTATTTTCTGAGAAATGTTTCGAACATTGTCAATACGGGTGAGAGTGTCTTCGGTGTACTCGAAATATTTTTCAGCAAATAAATGCAAGTCAAGACTTAAATATATAGGGTGATAGAGAATTCCGAGCGCTATTAGAATATAAAATTACTTTCCTTAAAATGTAGTTTTATATTGGCGATATAATTCTACTGATCCAAACGTGCAGAACTTATGCGCCGACCGGATATATTCAAGAAGTATTACTTTTTTTTTTTAGAGAATACTAACTGTAAGAAAAATTATCGGTTGGCAATATACGTTTATACTCATTCGTTTAGAATTTCACAAAATTAAATAATTAGCGAACATTTACTTAATTTTGATGGAAAGTCTATAAACAAGTTTAGAGTCGTGATCTTACTTTAGTCAATACTATTTATACTATGATAAAGTTTGATTTATAGCCTAATGCACATGAACAGTTCCTAGCGAGGATTGATGTATCTTTTCGATTCTAATATAGTTTCATAAGTGTCGGAGGCACACTTAGATTTTTCTACATTTTTGCGAATATACAAAATAGAATAAACATAGAAGATATATGTTTAAATGTAACATCTAAGTTATGATTCAAATTTATTCCACTCAATTGATAACATTATTAAGAGGATATGTTATTAGTAAAATTATTGAAGCAATTTTATCGACTTTGTTTTTCACTTTTTTCATTATATTTTTATTTTACTCATGTAAAAAAAAGTTACGTTTAAACGTCATAAAAACATAAGGATAAAAATGACTTACAATTAGTGTGCGATTTTATATTTTCTCATTCTAATAAAACAATTCGATAAATATACATAATTATGTTTTCTAATAATACATATTCGATCGATTGAGTATAATCAATTTAAAATCAAAATACTCCGCGTGTATGAAACAAACTTTATATGTATATATTACTTTTACAGAAAGTGATATAGTTAGATGAATTTCTGAATGGTAGAATAATTTTTATCTGATGTTTTTGTATGTTAGTAATAAACGTTCGATTCTTGAACTGAGTGTATTTCTAGAGAGAATAATCACATACTCAATAGATCTGCGTTGCTTGAAGTATCATTTCGATGAATTCTTATTCAGATCAATATCAAAGCAATAAGTCATTTGTTATTAGATGGTAACAACTCAGCCAGACAAGACTCCTAAAAAAAAGCATTAAAATTTTGTTAAGATACGTAAAGTTTTTCTAGATTTACGTATTTCTACCCCTTTTTAGCGCGAATTTCACGAATACTACCATGTTGAAAGCCTAAGACGTGTATTTTTCTGAACGGCTTTATTTTTCTCAAAGTTCAAAATGCGATTTAGATCTACGTGCGATGTAACATAGTTATCGTTATAATTTTTCTTTCATGTTTCTAATATTTGTGCAGTCATAAAATTTTCAAGATGTTTCTTTTTTTGTTTTATTCTTATTACAATAAAGATCTATTGCTGATTTATTTGAGGATAGACTTCTGTTAAACCTATTGAAATTAGTGAAGATTATTTAATTAAAAAAACAGAGCGAAAAAATCATTATAGTATTGAATATGTTGTAATTCAACGTTTTTACAAGAAAATAAATCTAACAGTGATACAATAGAGAATTAACTAGGTCTTTTTTTTCATCACGTCACAAATGAATAAACCATGTTAACTAAATAGAATGACTTGAAAGATAACACGATGTTTCTCTTGTCGGTTTATGTTAAGACACTTTGATATTTATCGTAATGATGAAGAAATAGGTTGTACAAAAAAGTTTAGATCACAGAGGCGTCTCAAAAGCCAAGCGTAAAATAAAACTGCAATAACTCTCGAATAATTCAAGTAATTCACATGATATTACCCACATAGACATTGTTTCAAATGATCGACATCTACTCTACTAATGTATAAAGTTTGTTTAGAGATCATTATGATCGCATCATCGATGTTTATTTACATATTAACAACAATTTTTGTATAAATTCCAGTGCAACATATCATGTTGATTTATAAAAAAGGATTGATAATCAGATTACGATGATCTCAAAACAAGCATTCATGCATCGGTTTTTTACATATGCTTCGAAACGTTTGATTTCATGAATTAAAGTAGATGCCAATCATTTGAAATAATACCTATGGGGATGAAATCATATGAAATAAAATTTCCAAGAATATCTTATGAAATGATGAAAAACTCATGTGAATTGCTTAAATCATTATCTTTTTCTCATTAGAATATATCAGAATTAATGTTTATGAATCCAAGTTGAAAGATCTCAGGGACATAATAACGATCGAAATTCGAGTGAATTACGAAAAACCAAATGCATATCATTTTTTGGCATCAGATAAAAGTCTAATTTATATATACTCTATAGCCAAAAAAGTGCTATCTTTTCTATAGTGTTGATAAACATTGTCTTTAAGAATAAAAACATACTAATCTCCTCTTTAAAATAAAAGAAAACATTTTTAATAAGACTTGCTCAGTAGTGCTGTTATATGCGGGGATGTGGGTGTATGCCAAGTGAATTGAGATAAGAGCCACACCCACACCCACCCTTTAATATTTTCAAACCTTCACGAATACCTGTCCACGTCACTATATATTCGATTAGGATCGTTCTTGGAGGAGCTTGATATAATTTTCCATAAACCTAATATAATCTCGCCTGTATTCCATATGCGAATATTTATGAGATCCTTTGGCAAATTTGCAGCCATAACACACAAAACTATGTGATCAAGCATTTTGTCGTACCATATGAAAAAACATCTTGAAACATTCATACTGAATTCCTAGATTTTCCCAAATCCACACTAATTGCTATGCATCTTTGTTTTCCAAGGATTCGAAATCCTCATTTATGAGATCATTCTAACAAGAGCCTTTTTGACATGTTCACAGTTTCGGTGGAGTATGATAGAATTCATTATTTTATTACTTAAATCCATGTCTAAAGTCCATAGAAATAGACTTACTAATATGGTTTCTGATAATCTTGCAAAGATTCTGCACTCGTGATTACGAATAAAATTTTTAGTTCTTTATATTTTTCTATGTAGGTCAATCTAATGGCCAAATTTTCTATGGACAGACAAAGTGTAATGAAAAAATTCAAAATTTGACCAATCAACTTGCTCGTATTCAAGGAAAGCAAAGTAAGATAAATATTATGCTGCTTTAAGTCATTGCATGAGAATTACAAGCTATCTTGCACAATCAAAAATCTCAAATCTTTCTGAGTACCTTCTCACCTTACAATCTGCTTTCTTTTTAGGCAGACAAATAAGTTTTCACATTTTTCGAGAGTTTTTTCAAAATAACGGGAGCAGGTTTGCTAGCCAAATTGAGAGAAGTGACTTGAACAGTTGACAACGAGAAAAAATTTTAAGGATCGAATGATATACACTGAGTGTAAATCTGGGTGTGGGTGTCGGTCAACCATTTTCATCTACACCCACGCCCACTTCTGATATTCTTTATTTTTTAAATATATGTAAAAATATGAACTCTTTTATTCTTTTTCTCAGTCTATCGGGAAAATTCCGAGTTCGTTTGCACTTAAAAAGAAGCAGTATAGTAAATAATGGAATGTTCACATTAAAATCAATATGAATATAATATAGATTTTTCTTTTTTAATTCTTTTTAATTAGTTTATTTCTATTATCCATGAGTCTCTCTCTCTATATGCATACTCATAATTACATCTTTCATAAAACTAAGAAAAATTTATTATTTGTAAAAGAATGACTGCCATGATCTATTTCTCCTTCCAAGAAGAAAAGAACTTTATTTATTTATATTAATGATTTATTAATAAGGATGACCTACATTTCGATAGATTCAACGTTAATAAAAAAAAAACCGTTTGTTTTTCAGCCATGTATTAGAAATCGATAATATGTACATATGTAGTACAAGATAAAAAAAAACATCTATCAATAGTTACTTTATGATAAATTAAGTAATAAAGAAAACGAAATAAATAATTTTTTAATAGCTCCACTCTCTCGAGAAAAAAATCCAACTATCAAAAGAGAAATTTGAAAATGCGCCAAAACTTGGAACGATGTTGATTTTGCAACAATTCAAATGAACTTTTCACTTTTTTTCTTTCTATAGTCTCCCTCTCTTTCTCTTCTCTCTTATTTTATCATTTTATTCTCTCCTTTCTCTCTATTTTAGTTTATCCATTACGTGGAAGCTCCATTAACATTCATCCGAATGCTCGATGGCAACAGAATGGCCTCACTGTGGCTGGAGACAATAGACAAGGCAATGGAATCAATCAACTCTCTAACCCATTTGGTTTGTATGTAGATGATGATCAAACAATATATGTTGCTGATCGATGGAATCACCGTGTTGTAGAATGGAAACGGGGTGCGACGAGTGGTCAAGTGGTTGCCGGTGGAAATGGAGAAGGAAGTGGTGCTCATCAGTTATCTGAACCATTAGATGTGATTGTCGACAAACAGACAGATAGTCTTATCATCTGCGATCGTTCGAATACTAGAGTGGTTCGATGGTCTCGTCGAAATAGAACAAGCGGAGAAACAATCATCTCCAACATCTATTGTGTGGGTTTGGCAATGGACGAGAATGGATCTCTCTATGTCGTTGACTATCGAAGAGCTGAAGTGAGACTATATCGAAGAGGAGAATCTCAAGGAATAGTGATTGCAGGTGGCAATGAAAGTGGAAATCGTCTCGATCAACTCTCTATTCCACAATATGTATTCGTCGATCGAAACCATTCAGTGTACGTAACTGATTGGAGAAATCATCGTGTGATGAAATGGATGAAAGGTGCAAAACAAGGCACTGTCGTAGCTGGTGGTAAAGGAGAAGAAAATGGTCTTATACAATTGTCAGATCCTCAAGGAGTCATTGTCGATCAATTGGGCACTATCTATGTGGCTGATGACGGGAATGATCGAATCACGCGTTGGCCCAAAGGAGCCACAAAGGGAAGTGTCATTATTGGTGGAAACGGTAGAGGAGGACAATCGAACCAACTCAATGGGCCTGTCGGTTTGTCATTCGATCAACACGGCAATCTCTATGTCGTCGATAGCGGAAATCATCGAGTACAAAAATTCAATATCGATTCCAGTCAATAAAGAACTATGGACAGGAAAAAATTTATTTTTTGTATTATAAACCTTCCAATCATTGTACACCCGCCAGCATCGCTGGAATTCTTGGAATTCTTGAAAAATTATAATAAAATGTGCTTTACTTATAAACAAAATGTCTGATTAAACCCAGTATAATCCCACGGATTTGGTGGAAAACGTCGAATGAGAAAATTAGAAAAGGAAACGTGTCAAAACGTCCAACATCGAAGATTACATTTTTAAAATAATCTTAATGACAAGCAAAATTTGATTTAATCATATGATAAAAGATAGTAGTAAGAGAAAATTCTAAGTTTATAAGTCTTAGTTCTCTTTTTGTGTGATCCAAGTAGTAATGCTAATGCACTCAACGGCTAATTTGCGAAGATTTCATTGTTCTTGAATCTTGAGTTTGTGGGTGTTAGTAAGGATTTGGATGGCTGCGTTGGTAGATGCAGCTGTGATTGTCAATAATGAAAACGATAAGAATCATATCAATACTTCACACTCGCACCCACACCCGCTCTACCAGTACTAAAAGTAAAACTATGTAATTTACAGTCATCTTTTCCATTCTCCATCACCTGTTCAACATGTTTCATTCTGCTTTTGTTGCTCATATATTCGTGTTTCGACACTTAGCTTGATTCTACCTTTTACATCAATCTGGAGCCCATGCCGGTTCCATTCAAGGATTCCGAAACCTTGGAAAACTTAAAAAATTTCGAAGTTTCCTATTTACTGAAAACCCATCAAACTCATTAAGGAACTTCGTATTTAGATGTTCATGAAATTGCCTGACACTGTTCAACACCTGAAAAACCATAAGTTCTCTGAAAATTCATGGTATTTGTATTGATACCACTACTTCCGAGGATGGGTATGGGTGTGAATGTGGGTGTGAGTGTATCGTTATCCACACCCATACACCCACTCCCACGCACACTCACACCCTTTTTACCTACTTTCCATCTCCAAAATGTGTCTCTTCCACATTCCACACAGGATTCTATATGACACAGAAACAAGACGAAGACAAAACACGAAGAACAATAGAGAGAGAGGAAGATGAAGCAGGAAACAAGAGCAACGAACCGTGACATATATACCGCCACACATTGTTACTCGATGTAGAAGTTTTCCCGTCCATAGCTTTTTAAGGCCACCTCCCCACCCCCTAAAAAAGTCACTTTTCGTCAAAATGATCGAAATTGAGATAACCTCATGGGGATATAGCCCGTCATATGCTCATTCATAAATGACAAAAGCTTTTACTCAACACCTCCTTTTTTCTGAAAATTCTGGAAGATTTTTGTCACCCCCTATTCGAAAAATAAACGGTTTTTACAAAAAAAACGAAAATCATTTTTCGCTTTTCTCAGAACGTGGGTTCAACGACGTATCTCCAGCAGAACTCCATCACAGTAAGAGATAAAGCAAAATATTTTTTGTTTGTTTGAAAGCTTGTGTTTAAGGCTAGCCCTCCCCCTTGTGGCCCTTTTTTTACAAAAGCTTTTTTCTTTTCATATAAGAAAACACCTCTATAAAGGCAGCGCTATTTTTTTAGGGTTTTTTTTTGAGTCATTAAACTTGTCGTCCATTCTTTTTCTTAAAAAGTAAGAATTTAAAAAAAAGGGCCACGAGAGAGGCCAGCCCATACAAGCTTTCAAGCAAAAAAGATTTTAATGTATAAAATGAAGGCCTACACAGAAATCTTGGAGATACCAAAGTGCTATTTTCGACCCTTGTTCAGTGAATACCTCTGTCAAACGTCATGATATAGGGCTGCAAATTTTACCATAGCCATGGTTCACCAGCCCCAATATATCCGGAAAGTTCCATGCGATTCGAGTGTTCTTGGGCTGAGATCAAATTTTGAGGGGCGGGGGTGGCCTTAAGCAACATTCTATGATCGATATTATGCAATCCATGTTTGTCCATTTATATCACCAAGCTTCAAACTGTATAATACAAATAGATCCTAGAGCATCCCTATGATCAACCGCCGGTGTGACATGATTTCACCTAATCAAAAAACATGCATCACACTTCTCATTCAAAGAAACATACGAGGACTTTATTTTTTTCCGAGTAACATCATGAAATCATTTAAGCCTCTTTTTTATTTTCTCAATGTTTGTTTCCACAAGTGCCAAACGAGGATGCATAGGAGGCAGCGACTTTTTAAAAACTTCAAGTGACATTTCTAGCGATAAAAGTGCTTTCGAGTACTCGCCCATCTTACAATACGCTGAAGCAATGTTGCTGTAGGAAGTAGCCAAGTCAGGATGATTCGGAGGGAGAGCTATTTTTCGAATTTCAAGTGATCTTTCTAGCGATGAAAGTGCTTTCGAGTACTCGCCCATGTGAGAATACACCGCAGCGATGTTGTTGTAGGAAAGAGCCAAGGAGGGATGATTCGGAGGGAGAGCTATTTTGTAAATTTCAAGTGATTTTTCGCACAATGAAAGTGCTTTCGAGTACTCGCCCATGTTCTCATACGCCATAGCGATGTTGTTGTAGGAAGCAGCCAAGTCAGGATGATTCGGAGGGAGAGCTATTTTTCGGATTTTAAGTGATCTTTCGTAGGATGAAAGTGCTTTCGAGTACTCGCCCATGTGAGAATACACCGCAGCGATGTTGTTGTAGGAATCAGCCAAGTCAGGATGATTCGGAGGTAGAGCTATTTTGAGGATTTCAAGTGATTTCTCGCACAATGAAAGTGCTTTCGAGTACTCGCCCATGTTCTCATACGCCATAGCGATGTTGTTGTAGGAAGCAGCCAAGGAGGGATGATTCGGAGGGAGAGCTATTTTTCGGATTTCAAGTGCTCGTTCATACGATGAAAGTGCTTTCGAGTACTCGCCCATCTTATCATACACCATACCGATGTTGTTGTAGGAATCAGCCAAGGAGGGATGATTCGGAGGGAGAGCTGTTTTTCGGATTTCAAGTGATCTTTCTAACAATGAAAGTGCTTTCGAGTACTCGCCCATGTTATTATACGCCATAGCGACGTTGTTGTACGAACCAGCCAAGTTAGGATGATTCGAAGGGAGGGCTATTTTTCGGATTTCAAGTGATCTTTCATACAAAGAAAGTGCTTTCGAGTACTCGCCCATCTGATCATACACCGCAGCGATGTTGTTGTACGAATAAGCCAAGTCAGGATGATTTGGAAGGAGAGCTGTTTTTCGGATTTCAAGTGATCTTTCGTAGGATGAAAGTGCTTTCGAGTACTCG